CATAGGCTCAGGATAGAATTGGAACAATAGTTACAATCTTTACCCAAAATAATGTATCAGGTAGCACCCTCAAGATACATGTACTAATATTCAATCAAGGTAACAACTCTTTATGATCATGTTTCATAGCAAATATCAAATTGAACTTTTGCAGCAAATATTTTATACTGAACAAGAATATCTGTCCATAGGACATCATGCCCTGCTTGCACTACTGTAGATTCATTATTATTCGTTGGATACCAATTTTCGTGGATTTCCTGGGTACAGGTGAACCATGAAATTAAAAATTCAACGAATGACAAATTTCTCATAGACCTGTATGCAGACTTCGGCAAAACCATGAAATTTAATATCCAATAAGTTTTTTTAAACCACGAAAATTGGTACCAACGAAAATAAATGAATCCACAGTATCACATTTCCATGTTCTGTTAACCATCAAAATCAGGGTAAAAACTGTAATTTGGCATATAATTTTAAAAATTTCACACCATACTAGACTTATGTACTAAGTTTCAAGTTGAGTTGCTGTGTTGACTACAACTTCATGGTTAACTAATTTGACCAAAACCTTTTACCTGTAAGAGAATGAACTGGTTTAGTTTATCATATTTCTGTTTTCAGTGAACCTTGAAATTGGAGTCAAAGCAATAATTTGATGTTAATATCATAATGAACAAGTGTACTAAGTTTCATGTTGATGTGACCACAACTTAGTTGTAAAGTACTTTAATCCATATTTGACTGATCTGAGATGGATGGACAGAATAATGGACTGATGCAGACCAGAACTAGAACGGTTGTGTATAAGTTTTATAACATTTGGTTGAGACAAACTAAAGTTAGAGAACGGAAACTAATCAAAGAGCTGACAGCTCTGAGGAAAAATGACGCCACTGTCTCTAATATTGTGATATTTTTTATGCAAGTCTTGATTTTCACATACCGTAATTAGTTTAACATTCCAACATGTCTCGTAAGCATATAATTGATATTCGTATATGTGTGTGTTATGTGAAGATGACAACTGGCTGTTTTTTTAGTACAAATGTATAGGTCAAGACTACCTGAATGATCTACAGTATCCAATGACTACTGGCTGTTTTTTTCTATAAATAAATAGTTCAAGACTACCAGAATGATCTACAATATCCAATGACTACTGGCTGTTCTTTTGTACTAATAAATAGGTCAAGACTATTTGAATGATCTACAATATCCAATGACTACTGGCTGTTCTTTTGTACATATAAATAAAGACTACCTGAATGATCTAAAGTATTCTAAGTAATGTGATTTTTGTCTTACAATTACATTTTTCTAAATCAAGAATATAGACTACTAGCATCCTTTTCAAACCAAATGATTATGAAGAGCCTGTTGTTATCAAGCTCTTATACCCCACATACTCATTAAATAAGTTACTAGTGACCTAATTATTTCTGTTACTTGAAGCAAATTATATTTCTGTAGATTTAGACAATAGTATAATATTGTTTTACTAGTTTTATTTCACCTTGAAGATTAGACAAATAGGGATACTCCTTTGATTTTTTATTTCATGTCAGTCAGGTCGCTTTATATGAAACTTGAAACCACTTCTCTGCCATATTGTTATTTCATAACAACTCTGCCCTTGACCATGTTGACCCATGTAATTGATATTCATTCTTTAACCATATATCATAGTCAGTTAGTTTTTGATTTTGCACTCCCACACCACCTTTCAGGCCAAATGTCTGTCTCCATTTAAGTTAATGACATTGAACAATCATGGTATTAAACACAATTTCAATAGTGATAATGCTGTTCTAGTAGGTCACCATATATTCAACTTGGGTAGCATTCCAGTTATTGAAATTTGTGTCAGATTAGAACAATGATCTAGACCTTTAGGAATGGATCTTACAATTTAATATGGAGCCATAGTATGGGACCCCTACACGGTAACAAAAAAAAAAACAAGCTTGAAAGGATACAACGTCAAGCGGCAAAATCTATCACCAGAAATTACAAGTCAAGAGAGGATGGACGGGATACGTCTCTAAAATGCTTGCCTAACTGGAACTACAACAAGATCTCCAGACAAAACGAACAAGGAGTTGAAGCCAGAAGTTAATATTTATGTAAAAAGTAGTTGAGGGGCTGATTCCCGCTATTGAACCATACTGTCATTCTATAATATTATTGCGTAAGTATTTCTGTATTGTCCTTGTTATTGGTCCATGTCTTGGTGTATTGGTCTGAGGCGAAGCCGAAGGCCAATACTGCTGGCCGAGGACCAACAATAAGGCCAATACAGAAATACATGTAATAGTATCTTTATTAATTAACTGCAGTGTTACAATATTTTTTTATTTCATTTCACAAGAGATAAACATTTTTACCTTGAAGTGGAACTATCCAAATCTCAGTTTCTTTTTATAAGATGCAATATCTAATGATTTGGTGCCGTTTCCATGTATCTTCAACCTTTTCTCATCTGATGAATTTTTCTACCCTTTCCAGTCACTATAAAGTGTTACAACTTTAATTTAGACACAACACATAAATAGTAATTGGAAAGGTACTGCCTTTGCATGTGTAATGCAAATATATTTAAAAAAAAAAAAATGTAAGAGTTGAAATTGATACAACTATCCATAAGCCAATTGACTAAAGAACGAAGATTTGCGCAATTACAGAATGCATATGCCTGGTTCGGGTTTAAAAATAAAAGACCGTTTACAAAACATGAGAAGCGAAAGTAAACAGTAAAAATCGATTTGTACCATCGACATGATGAAATTATGAGGTCGTCAAGAAATGAACTTTGTGATAATTTACTCGTTCCCCAAACCTGAAATAATTCCATCGTCTACTTTCAAAATGCTTTTCAAATGAATGGGACCGTCTTTAACATAACATGTATGCCATACTGAACGTTTCAGCTTGTTTATGGTGAGTAAATAAAAACTGCGTCGTACAAACAACTGTTTACTTTCAGTTTGAGTTTTATCGTGACTTACGATCTAAAAACTAGAGACGTTCCGAAATCCTGTTTTGGCCGGATCAGAACTCGGCCAATACGGAAAAAAAATCTGTATTGGCCGAGTTGACATCTTATATTGCATATGCAGTTTTCATCATATTAAGTACAATAACAGTGTAGTTAATTAATAATGATACAGTTACAGACTCTGCTGCTATAACTTTGTAAACAAAGATTCATACGCACCGCGTGGGTATAACCGTATTACTAATTTCCGATTATTAAAATCTTCGTAAATCTGGATAAAGACCAGTTTCTATCCAATGAATATCAAAATGATTCCGATTATAACTTTTTTAATGATTGTAAAGTTGAAATGGCATAAAAGGCTGACAATATTTAGAACTATTTTGTCTAGCGATTGCTGATCATTGGAGGGTAAAAAGTCCAACACCATAACAAAACGGATCTATTTATCATGTATACATACCGATTGTTTACGATTGTAAGACATGTGCATAAAAGTCAAAGCTCGAATAAATATGAAAAATATAACAAAGGGATAGCTCCAAATACCATTTAATAACAAAAAACATATGGACAGTTCAAGATATCTTTTTGGTAAATAAAATAACGTATGTAAACTGGTTAAATATGAAACCGAGTGCGGTAGGCGGAGGCATAATCAACTTCCGTTAGTTCTGGTCAATGGTATCGGAAACATGCCGCTGATAGCGTCATTTTCCAATAAACTGCTTTGCTGAGCGCAGCTGGATACGCCCGCAGAGGTCTAACCCTGAACAGTTGGGGCAAAAATGGACACAATATTCAAGCTTGATACAGGTCTGAATTTGGATTGTAATTAAATATTTGACATACATCTATTATAGGTTTCTGAATAAATGTATTCAAAGAACTTGAAGTTGGTTATATGAATTGAATTTATATTCAATTAAAGATTTCTTGCTGTTGTGCAATACACTGTGCTGTTGCGCAATACTTAGTAAATCTGTTGTCAGACTATAAACAAATAAAATTTATAAAATTCTAAAGGGAGCTTACATCAATAGATATAAACAGTTCACCAAAGTTTCATACGAATTGCTGAAAGCATTTTTGAGTTTTTGTCTGAAAACTGGAAAATCCCCCCTTTTTTAATGAATAAACCCCATAATTTGGAAATGTAAAATCTAAAATTTATAAAATTCTAAAGGGAGCTTACATCAATAGATATCAACAATTCATCAAAGTTTCATGAGAACTGCTGAAAGCATTTTTTGAGTTATTTTCCAAAAACTGGAAAATCCCCCTTTTTTTTATGAATAAAACCCCATAACTCGGAAACGTAAAATCTAAAATTTATAAAAATCCAAAGGGAGCTCATGTCAATAGATATAAACAATTAACCAAAATTTCTTGCAAGTTGGTGAAAGCATTCTCGAGTTATTGTCCGAAAACTGGAAAATCCCCCTTTTTTTAATGAATAAAACCCCATAACTCGGAAACGTAAAATCTAAAATTTATACAAAACGAAAGGGAGCTCACGTCATAGATATAAACAATTCAACAAAGTTTTAAGCTAATTGGTTAAAGCATTTTTGAGTTAATGTCCGACATGTTGACGACGGACGGACGGACAGACGGATGGACAGACGGACGTACAACGGTATACCATAATACGTCCCGTAAACGGGCGTATAAAAATTCAGCAATTTTTATGTTTATAAAGGGACATAACTCAAGAATGGTAAAAGTGTTCTCACCAAATTTTGTACTTTATCTGTATTATGTAGTAATAAGCATTGTGTATAAGTTTCATAACATTTGGTTGAGGCAAACTAAAGTTCGAAAACGGAAACAAAAAATTTGTACTTGATCTTAGTTTTGTGGTAATGAATATTGTGTATAGGTTTCATAATGTTTGGTTGGGGCACACTTAAGTTACAGAATGGAAACTAAAAATTTTGCAATCTTTCGATTCATAAAGGGGCATAACTCAATAATGGTTAAAGTGACACTACCCAAATTCAACTTGATCTGTATTTTATCAGTGGAAGTAAAAATTAAACATTGCATTGTATAAAGCATTGATTGTAGTTGATTCAACTATAATCATGGACAAAGGAAGATAACTCCAATTTAAAAAATAAATTAATATTTAGAAGAAAATAAAAATTTTGCAATTTTTCCATTTATAAAGGGGCATAACTCTAGAACAGTAAAAGTGATGCCACCAAAATTCAAGCTTATTCTGTGTTTTACTAAAAATTTTGCATTTTTTCCATTTATAAAGGGCATAACTCGAGAATGGTTAAAGTGACCCCACCAAAATCCAAACTTGATCTTTATTTTGTGGTAATAAGCATTGTGTATATGTTTCATAAAATTTGGTTGAGGCAAACTTAAGTTAGAGAACGGAAACTAAAAATTTTGCAATTTTTCCATTTATGAAGGGGCATAACTCTAGAACGGTTAGAGTGAAGCTACCAAAATTCAATCTTGATCTGTATTTTGTGGTAATAAGCATTGTGTATAAGTTTCATAACATTTGGTTGAGGCAAACTTAAGTTAGAGAATGGAAACTAAAAATTTTGCAACTTTTCCATTTATAAAGGAGCATAACTCTAGAACGGTTAAAGTGAAGCCACCAAAATTCAAACTTGATCTGTGTTTTGTGGTAATTAGCATTGTGTATAAGTTTCATAACATTTGGTTGAGGCAAACTCAAGTTAGAGAACGGAAACCAATTTTGGGACGTACGTACGTACGTACAGAAGCACAAGGGTAAAACTTAATGCCCCCTCCCCTACGGTGGGGGCATAAAAAATATTATGTCCCCCTTCTATCCTAGATAGGGCATAAAAATATGACAGGAAATTGACATATATTTGTAAGATGGACTGATTGAAAATAATAGATTCATTAATTCATTTGTATAAACCAAAACCATGCTTCAATGTATTGAATTTCATTGTAGGAAAAAAGACTAAAACACAAAAAAACAATTTAACCATTTTCTATTGATAAATGTTCTTTCTGTTTTCTCTTTAACTTTTTCTTCTGAGATTTTGAGAGTTCTCCTTCCTTTCTTTTCCTTTTTGGTTTCATAGACAGGGGATTAGCCCCTTTTAACTTTTTGTGTTTCTTTTTCTTTACTTCTTGTTCACCGAATGCTTCCACTTTCAGCTGTTTTATGATGGTATGCTCATGTTCTGAAGGAGCAATTCTAGCATCGGTTTGTCTTTCTGCTTTCATTTTTGATTTGTCTGATGGTGGTTCCAGAGTTATTGTATTGAAAGCTATATAAAGCATAGGTGTGCCAGCTTTTGTTCTAAACCAATCATTTAACATTTTATCCTGAAATAAATAATATACATGTGAATTATGTGTGGAAAATTTCTTCAATGAACCAAAACCCAACAACACAGGTAAGACAAAATATAACCTGCAGTTATTTACATCCTCATCTTTGGAGGATAATTCTCATTAGCAATCGTACCATATCTTCTTATTTTCATGTTAAGATAAGTTACCATATGTTCGTCACTGATAGATATGAACTTAACTATATGAGAAGCTCTAAATTTTACAGAGACTAGACAAGTTTGTACATAAATCCAATAGAATTAACCAATTATCTGGTCTTAAAATACTGACTCTTGAATCATGTAGGTTGTAGAAAAAATTTATTTACAACTGAATACGACAAACGTTTAATCCTATATATCTTAAAGTGATAATTATCAAATCTACTTTAACTTATACAAAAAAATACAAGATGTCAAGGTTTGAAAACAATAATTTCTCTAATTCTTTGGCAATTTGTCGAGGCTTGGAATTTAAAATTCGATAATTTAACTATCTCAATTGCATAAATCTGATAATCCACTGGTACCAATGTAATAATCTATATATAACTATAACCTTTCTCAATATTTATACATAGTTCTACATTTTTTTACCTCGCAAGAGAAGCAATCTGAAATGTCTTTCTACGGACTGTTACTTTAGGAACTATCAAAAAATCTGAGGCAGCATACAGCGTACAGCAGGGTTCATATTCATATCTTATTTTAAACATGCTCTGGTCCTGATGTGCATGTGATATCTGCCACTGGATGTTACACACACATAAAAAAGCATGCAAATGTAGAACTAAAAGGTTAACTATTGAAAACTGCAGCATATAATATAATTACCTGTGTTGCAAGGAATAACTTTTCTTTATTCTTTTTGCCAATCAGTCTTGTAATGCATTTAGATGCTGATAAAGTTGACTTGTGGTTACATGGCTGTAATTTAAACTGCTTCAATACTTTAAGAGGACCATATAATACTGAACCTGAAAATATAAAGAAACCTTTAGCTGTGGGAGTGATGTACAACTGGCTATTGAATTCTAAACCACAGGTACATTGTGTTTAATGCTGTGCTTTATGTTTTTATGTAAGGTACATGTATAAAAAAATACCCTTTCAAAACTAGAACCACCCTTAAAAAATTCTTAGTTTGATGTAGCCTACCCGTGCCTTGTAGGGTTGAGTAGGTAGGTAAGGAATTTTTTGTTGGCCAACAACATAAGTTACATGTTTTAGACAAGAAAATGTACATGATGTATAATAGCAGGAAAAAATCTTTAAAAGAAAAAATTTTAAACGATTTGTGTCATAAAATTTTTTTTGTAGGCTACGTTTTAGATGGGTAGGTAGGCAACATCAAACAATTTAAATTTTATTTTTGGCCCTATGTTAACTATCATCAATAGACTCGACATAATTTCACACTAGTGAGAACCCTGCACACGGCCATTGCATTCGACTCTGAACTTATTTGACAAAGATTGCCAGTTTTTCTGTAGAAGGTCGTGGTTTCTCTCTGGATACTCAAGCTTCCTCTACTAAATAATAAAATGCTTCGCTGGGCGCAGCTTGATACGACCGCAGAGGTCGAACCCTGAACAGTTGGGGCAAGTATGGACACAACATTCAAGCTTGATACAGCTCTGAATTTGGATTGTGATTAAATATTTGACACAGCATAGGTTTCTGACACAGAAAGAATGTGGTCTAAGAACTTGAATTTTTTTAATTTACCTATTATGGTCCAATGTCCAAAATCAAAATACATGGTTAGAATCAGCATATCAAAGAACCCCATATATTCAATTTTTGTTGAAATCAAACAAAGTTTAATTTTGGACCCCAACTTGGACAAACTTGAAAACTGGTCCCATAATCAAAAATCTAAACACATGTTTAGATTCAGCATATCAAAGTACCCGAAGAATTCAATTTTTGTTAAAATCAAACTAAGTTTAATTTTGGACCCTTTGGACCTTAATGTAGACAAATTTAAAAAACGGGACCCTAAATTAAAAATCTAAAAACACAGTTAGATTTGGCATATCAAAGAACCCCAATAATTCAATTTTTGATGAAATCAAACAAAGTTTAATTTTGGACCCTTTTGACCTCAATATGAACCAATTTGATAGCGGGCCCACAAATAAAAAATCTAAATACATGGTAAGATTCAGCATATCAAAGAACCCCATATATTCAATTTTTGTTGAAATCAAACAAAGTTTAATTTTGGACCCCAATTTGGACCATCTTGAAAACTGGGCCAAAAATCTAAAATCTCAATACATGTTTAGATTCAGCATATCAAAGAACCCCATATATTCAATTTTTGTTGAAATCAAACAAAGTTTAATTTTGGACCCCAACTTGGACCAACTTGAAAACTGGTCCCATAATCAAAAATCTAAACACATGTTTAGATTCAGCATATCAAAGAACCCCAAAATTTCAATTTTTGTTAAAATCAAACTAAGTTTAATTTTGGACCCTTTGGACCTTAATGTAGACCAATTTAAAAAACAGGACCCAAAATTAAAAATCTAAATACACGGTTAGATTTGGCATATCAAAGAACCCCAATAATTCAATTTTTGATGAAATCAAACAAAGTTTAATTTTGGACCCTTTTGACCTCAATATGAACCAATTTGATAGCGGGCCCACAAATAAAAAATCTAAATACATGGTAAGATTCAGCATATCAAAGAACCCCATATATTCAATTTTTGTTGAAATCAAACAAAGTTTAATTTTGGACCCCAATTTGGACCAACTTGAAAACTGGGCCAAAAATCTAAAATCTAAATACATGTTTAGATTCAGCATATCAAAGAACCCCATATATTCAATTTTTGTTGAAATCAAACAAAGTTTAATTTTGGACCCCAACTTGGACCAACTTGAAAACTGGGCCCATAATCAAAAATCTAAACACATGTTTAGATTCAGCATATCAAAGAACCCTAAGAATTCAATTTTTGTTAAAATCAAACTAAGTTTAATTTTGGACCCTTTGGACCTTAATGTAGACAAATTTAAAAAACGGGACCCAAAATTAAAAATCTAAATACACGGTTAGATTCGGCATATCAAAGAACCCCAATAATTCAATTTTTGATGAAATCAAACAAAGTTTAATTTTGGACCCTTTGGACCTCAATGTGGACCAATTTAAAAACGGGGCCCAAAATCTAAAAAATTAATACACGGTTAGATTCAGCATATTAAAGAACCCCAAGAATTCAAGAATAAAACCCCATTGAAATTGATCAAGAAATAAGCAATTTATACGAAGTATCTTCTTTTGCACAATACTGTGCAATTGAATATTTCTTGCTATTGCGCAATACTGTACAATTGACAATTTCTTGCTATTGCGCAATATTGTGCTATTGGATATTTCTTGCTATTGCGCAATACTGTTAAATTGAAGATTTCTTGCTATTGCGCAATACTGTGCAATTGAAGATTTCTTGCTATTGTGCAATACTGTGCAATTGAAAATTTCTTGCACAATACTTATTATATAATAATTTACACATCCTGTTTGGTGTGTATCTCCTACCATATCATTATTATTTGCTTTTAAATATAAATCAGAAATAACCAACTTAAAATGGAAAATTTTAAAAGAAAAAAAAAAGGAAAAAAAGAAAAAAAAAAAAAAAAAAAATCCCCCCCCCCCAAATTTTTTGAACCCTCTTATGATTCATCACCCCCAAACTCAATCCCAGCCTTCCCTTTGTGGTATGGTACCTTGCAGTACAATTTCAGAGAGATCCATACACTTGAACACAAGTTATTGTCTGGAAACTAGAAAAATGCTTATTTTTGGCCCCTTTTTGGCCCCCAATTCCTAAACGTTTCGGGCAATTACCCCCAAACTCAATTCCAGCTTTCCCTTTGTGATATGTAACCTTGTAGTACAATTTCAGAAATATCCAAACACTTACACACAAGTTATTGTCATGAAACTAGAAAAATGCTTGTTTTTTGCCCCTTTTTTGGCCCCTAATTCCTAAAATTTTGAGGCAATTACCCCCAAAATCAATTACAGCCTTCCCTTTGTGATATGGAACCTTGTGGTACAATGTCAGAGAGATCCATACACTTACACACAAGTTATTGTCTGAAAGTTACAAAAATGCTTATTTTTGGCCCCTTTTTGGCCCCTAATTCCTTAACTGTTGGTACCATAACCCCCAAAATCAATCCCAACCTTCCTTTTGTGGTATTGAACCTTATGGTGAAATTTCATGGAGATCCATTCACTTAAACTAAAGTTAGAGTGCGAAAACCAATGTGTCTTCGGACGACGCCGGACGACGACGACGACGACGACGACGACGCCAACGTCATACCAATATACGACCAAAAAATTTTTAATTTTTGCGGTCGTATAAAAACTGGCCACCACTATATAACCAAGAGTGCTGAAGATGGTGTTAAACACCAACAATCAATCAGAATAGTAAGATCTCAAGTCAAGTGTGTTTGACCTGATTGCATCTGAGCCAACCTTACAGTATTATATGTACTGTTAATTTAAACCAACTTATTTTCGCAGATACTTTATTTCGCGTTCAACCCTTTTCAGTCGACTACGCTGCGATTTATTTTCGTGGTTTTTTTTATGGTCTTGATGTATTTATATAAGAAAAGACCGAAGTTTTATATATTCGCGCTATTTTTCTACTCGCGAAAGTCGCAAAAATAAATTGCTCGCGAAAATTAGTTGGTTTACAGTTTATGAATTTTATACTCTCAGTATGAAAAATAATATTGTTTCATATGGGGTTGCTCCCATCCAATGATAGAGAAAAACTTTTGTCAGAAATGGGATATATATTACTTTAAAACAATGAATATACTTATTTACAATATATGTATATCAAAGAATGTTCAATGAATTGGAAAAATTAGGACAATAACTGACTTACCAAAGGCTTCACATTCGTCAAGCACACATTGTGTAGTCCACATTTTAGTATCTGCCTCTAAATACTTTGGTAGCTGTTCACTGATGTTGACTTTAAACTTCAGGGCAGCCTTACAAAATGTTCCATCAATCAAAACATTGTATGGTGGCCTAAATCCAAAATTACTACTGTAGAAAGTCAAAACTTTCCTAATATGCTTATGTCTCTTTATTTTCATCTTTCTTTATATATTGCTAGAAAAAAATTAAAAACAAAAATACAATATCCAATGATCCTGTAATATTTACAATTCACATCTTTTTACACAAAATACTCAAAATATGACTTAAATATTATTAGATATATTGCTTTTTATGTATGGTTATGAACACTTTTGATCTGACATCCTGTCAAATCTGTATACTTTTATTTTGGCATTGCATTTCTTACTGTTTATGAGGTCTTTACACTAAATATGTTGGATGTGTACTGATTGATACTTAAGTATGGAAGAACATGATTTTTTTTAGTTGTAATTTGCTTTGAACTACCTTTACGAAACCTTGAGTACTCTAATATCGGTGCTTTGTGTCTATTTTTTTTTATGTTATTTGTTTTATTGTGCTTCATACTGATTTATTGAGTTAAGCCATTTGCAACTGATTTTGTTCTTATGTTGTGCTGTTACAACACTGTCCCAGGTTAGGGGACAGTTGGGCCATCGCAAACATGTTTAAACTAGTCATATTCTTTATGTGCCTATTGACCCAAGTCAAGAGCCTGTAATTCAGTGGTTGTATTCGGTTCATTTCTGCAATATTTGTTTTTTGTAAATTGTATTGTTATAAATAAAGCTTCACGTTTGAAGTGTTTCATGTCAGGGCCTTTTATATAGTTGTTTTGGGTTTTTCTCCTTGTTGAAGGCTGTACGGTGACCTGTTATTGCTTACATTTGTATAATCCACGTCGTTTAAGTTGAACTATGATGGATAACTGTCTCAATACACATATTACAACTCACTATTTGGGTGGTGGCAAAATATTAAGTCATTATGTTCTTTAATTTCCAAGGAAATGTGTGTTGGACAAAAAAAATAATTTCATTCAACATATTGAAAAATTCTTAAAAAAAGTATTGGTAAACAGGAAGTAGGTATCTGAAAGATCCAAAAAGTGCTCATACCTTACAACTCATCAATGTCAAGTTGTAGTCCAAATAATACAAGACGTCATAATTATTTGGGACTATGTCAAGCTGCTGACCAAAATATGAATTCATTCTGTTCAGTAGTTTCTGAGAAAAGTGTGATGAAAGTATCTGTTGGACAAACATACGGACAAAATGGAGGACAAGAATTTGGGTTTAAAAATAATGTATGCCTTACTAATAAGATTTAAAATCATTATACTTTGAATTGTGGAAAAATAAGTATATCTTATTAGCTTTAAATTCTTAATTGGGATCACCTGACTTTGGCGATCACAATACTGGAATACCAGTATGCTCACAATACTGGTATAAACTTTTATTCCAGTATTGTCTTCCAGTATTATACCAGTATTGTTGGGTTTTTTCATGGAAGTATTATGTTAAGATACAAGATGTCATGACTTTTCTACATATGACAGAAATATATAAACAAAATTGTATATACAGTAATTAGTTTATTCTGAAAAAGTGCAAAAACATTCATAATGTTATATTTTCAAAAAAGTTGTGTTTTACTATTGTCTTGATTGTTATCTAAAATACTATATATCAATATCAAATTACAAGATTATAAATAAGTATGCATTAAAATGTTGCCATTAGTGTCAATTTTAATTCTTCAATAGTTTTTGTTTTCAATTGTTCCCCTGGTTTGAGGAATTTGAATCAATTAATTTTATATTTAATAGAAGGAAAAAATATATTCAGTGTTATAAACAAAAATTCTGACATTGAAATAACTTAAAAACTACAGGGTCATGAAGGTGTTAATATAAAGTGAAATAAAATGCTCCGCTGGGTGCAGCTTGATACGACCGAAGAGGTCCAACCCTGAACAGTTGGGGCAAGTATGGACACTACATTCAAGCTTGATACAGCTCTGGATTTGGATTGTGATTAAATATTTTACATAGCATAGGTTTCTGACACAGAATGAATGGGGTCGAAAAACTGAAAAATTTGAAATTGGACTTTTACCTATCATGGCCCAATTTCAAAACCTAAATACACAGTTAGATTCAGCATATCAAAGAATCCCAAGAATTCATTTATTTTTAATTCAAACAAAGTTTAATTTTGGACCCTTTGGACATCAATGTGGACCAACTTGATAAAGGGGCCCAAAATCCAAAATCTAAATACATTGTCAGATTCAGCATATCAAAGAACCACATATATTCAATTTTTGTTGAAATCAAACAAAGTTTAATCCGATTTAGACCAACTGAAAACTTGGCCCGAAATCAAAAATCTAAATACATGCTTAGATTCAGTTTAGCAAAGAACCCCTTGAATTTTTTCATAAAATCAAAATAGGTTTAATTTTAGACTATGTGGACCAATTTAAAACCGGTCCCAAAATCAAAAATACACAGTTAGATTCAGTATGTCAAAGAACCTAAAGAATTCAAATTTTTTTTAAATCAAACAAAGTATAATCTTGGATCCTTTGGGCCTTAATGTGGACCAATTTGAAAGAAGGCCCCAAAATTAAAATCTAAATACATGCTTAGATTCGGCATATCAAAGAACACCAATAATTCAATATTTGATGAAATCAAACAAAGTTTAATTTTGGACCCTTGTACCAATTCAAATATGGAGCCCAAAATCTTAAATCTAAATACACGGTTAGATACAGCATATCAAAGAACCACATGAATTCATAATACAAAGTTTTTAAAAAATCTATAAAACTTACCTTAATTATTTTTCAAAATATCTAATAATGAACAGTAAATTTCAAACTATATTAATGCATAATTTCTTCTCTAAAATTAGATATGATGCTGTATCTATTTTCAACTATGACTCAACTTAAAATTTCTGCTGATTGCGCAATACATCTCTGAATTTAGGTTCTGATTAAATATTTAATAAAAGCAATAATTTCTGACATAGAATGAATGTGGTATGAGTTCTTGAATAATTTAAAATTGGACATTTACCAATTATGGTCCAATATCCAAATTCTAAATACATAGTTGGAATCAGCATATCAAAGAACCCCAAGAATTAAATTTTTGAAGAAATCCAACAAAAAAATTTATTTTAGACCTTTTGGACCTCAATGTGAACCAATTTGATAACAGGAACCAAAATCCAAAATCTAAATACACACTTAAATTCAGCATATCAAAGAACCCATATATTATTTTTTTGTTGAAATCAAACAAAGTTTAATTTTGACCCCATTTTCAACCAACTTGAAAACTGTGCCTAAAAACAAATAAATTTTATATCGTATAAAAACACTTAGTGTAATCAAACTTTTTTATATATATAATTATTAGTTCCCAATATTTTTTCTTTCATTTGTCACAAACTAATATCTGCAACTTATCTATCAATGTCAACAACTTTATCTACACAATGTATTGTAATGAAATATATCCTTTAATACAAATAGATTATTATCTAAAAATAACATTTTTTTTTATTAAGATGTAACATAACATAATGCATGGCACAATTGTATTTAAAAACTTCACTTAACTACACTTCCACTTCAACAAATGGACAAAGGTCTATTTTAATTTCCAAGGGAATTTTCAACCATAAGAAAATATTCAAACATGTTAACAATCTTTAAATAGAACACAATGCATACACAATTATCACCACAATTAATATACCTGAATGCAAATCTATTTTAAACTATGACTCAACTATTAGTTGTGCAATAAATCTATAAATGTAGAGCTTAATTATAAACTGAAAATATTTTACGTTTTATTTACCGTTATAACTTTGGTAACCATTTCAAGGCAAAATATATGTGAACAGAGTGTGTATATTATTTTGTAAAGTCATTGTTTATTTATCGATTTGAGAGGATTCGTTTGAACTTTACCTTGCAACAATTTAGCCTCAGGCGTACACAGGTGTGAATTCAAGCGTACACAGGTGTGACTATTGTCATTTTGAATGGATTAACAGAAAGAGTATGGCGTGTTTAATACACCAAGCTGAAATACCCGATGAAAATAGAGAAACAATAATTAAAATGTATAAATTAATTGAAAATAAACATTCAATTTCGGAAGTGTATTTTGAAATGGAACAATTTTCGATTACGCTCTATGCAATTAGCATAAAATTAAAATATGAAGTTAAAAGAAAATTAATTTAACATTTCCCAATTAATATATGCACATCTGTTTAATTTACTTTACCGGAATTCTTTAACTTGTATTTAAATCTGGCGATGTTTAAATGCTAACAATCGAAAAACTATCGCAATTTAAAAGTTTTTATTGAAAAAATACAATAGTACAACATGCATGATTTTTTATCTTCTTTTTAAAATTTCATTCCTACATAATAAATTCAACTAACAATCTCTTAGAATAATTATTTGTGAAAAGAATGCCAATTATCATTTATTTCATTCATTATAAATCTAAGCTATTAAAATAATTGTGTATTCCGTCTGGAAATTTTTATTTTCTTTTTTTTTTCTTTTGATCTGTTTTTTTTTATGAGGTGTTCTAATTGTCTTTAACGGTTTGAACATATGAAAATTAAATATAATCATTTTTATATTATATTATAGTTTAGTGTAATACTCTACAGGGTAGCCGTCATTAATCCAAAATAGTAATTGTAGTAATTAATGGCATAGCTTAGTAATGTATTGCTGACAATGACGATTTTAGAACAGTTCGTCTCCTTGAAACAAGCTGTACTAGTATACTTTTCCTGAGGTATAAGCGCCGTTGAAGACGAACTCCAGATGTTCTTTCTAAAGGACAAAGCAGACTAATAGCGTATCGTTCGTTTGTTTGTTGGGTCAGGGGAGGCCAACCACTTGCCCAGAAAAACAGAATCACCATACAAGCATAGTTGTCAACACTATCGGAAAAGAGTTCCTATCGTCGGATGGGGTACACGAATGCTTCCAAGAATGAATAAGTGACATGTCTGACTCTGAACAGTCAGTAAACGAACTGAACAATGATCTACAGACATCAACCTCTTATTCTTGATATCATAAACTGCATGCATGTACGTTTATGAGAGCGATTATTTATCTTGTACCTGACGAAAACTAAACTTAATGCGTGCATGGTTATGTATCTTGCTATACGTTTTTATTGGTTTGGTGTGTGTTCACTCAAAATCGTAATCCAAAGATAATGTTTGTGAGATGTAATTTCACTTCTCAATACCGAATTTCGTCTATATATTTCACAAGTGTATACCACTGAGAAGCTCTGATTGTATATAATTCCTTTTTTTTTTGTGTAGACCATCGTTGTTAACAGCAATATTTGATGAAGCAGATGATGATAGTAGAAAGCAATATGAGCGTATTATTTATCTTGTGTCTGACGAAAACAAAATGCCTGCATGGTTATATCTTGCCATTTTGTATTGGTTTGGTGGGTGTTCACTCAAAATCGTAATTCAAAAATTGTGTTTGTGAGATGTAGATTCATTTCAATAACGAATTTCGTCTATATATTTGTGACAAGTGTATACCCCTGAGAAGCTCTAAAGGTATATTACTCCCATTTAGTTTGGGTGTGAACCATCGATGTTAACAGCAATATTTAATGAATAAGATGATGATAGTAGAAAGAAATATGAGCGTCATGTGGCAAATATTACATAAATGTCGGACTATGAGTTATCTATCTGTATGAAAAGATTTCCAATACAACCATATTGAGTAGGATTTTTCATGATATACTCGAGTCGTACTAGTATACAGGCTTCTCATGTCGCCGTTTGACTCAGACACACATCTTTTACTTTAAGATGTATGAAAGATTCTATATATATATATTAAATGTAACAATAATGAAACGCCTACAGGCAATAACTAAACGGGTATGAAGTTTTATACAGATTTATTCTTATTTACATAATCATTAACAAACTAAATAAATTGAACGAAGAAACACAGTGACACTACGATATAACAAATGGGATACTTAATTATTTTTAACCATGCTATGCAGAAACTTAACACATCAAGTTAGCGCACGTGAATACCAATTTGGAATACGATGTGTGATTTTGTATAAAAATATCAAAGCGAGCAGTAACTTTGTCTAGCAAACATTTTTTTACTATGCCTCTCTTTATCTCTTTTCCTTTACAATAACTATTACCCTTTTCGTCGATCATTCTCTATGTAGTATAATTTTCTCTAATCGGTTATTTTTTTTTCACTATGCCACTCTATCTCCGTTCCTTTACAGTGACTGTTTCCCCTGTCGTTCTAATCCGTATAAAGATACGGACATTAGACATAGAAGGAGCTCTCTTATCGTCAATAAATAAATATTTGATACTAACTATAAGTGCTGCATTACTTTATACTGCATGTTTGCCAATCGTCAAAAGCTTGCATTTGCGTGAAGAAATTTTTTTTCAAAAGAAGGGTCCAGAATCATGACAAAACCGTATATGTATTTCACAAATTTTTTTAAAGATCATGTTTATAAAATTTTTAAACTTATTATCAGCAAAAATAGTGGATAATATTATTATCAGAAAATCATTCATTAACAGTGGAATTATAATTTCAAACACGCACAAGATAAATAACGTCGAATACAAATATATGTGGTTCAATAAATGTTACCTGTGCACGTCGGGTACCTGTATAATATATTGTGTAATAGGAATTTTTAGTCGACAGGATGTCGCTGGAATAACCAAGGACGTGTATCTAATATACGTCCTTGGGATAACTAACTGAATGTGTCGGTCCGACACGACATCTATCAATAATTCTGACATACCTATTATCAATTCGGGAGGAAGCCAAAATATATATATATATATAATAAGATAACGTAAATAAAATTTAAAAAGAAAAAAAAATATACATTTTTTTCCAAACATACCAGATAGGGTCACACATTTAACTGTAAAGTGTCTTTATAAGTGACTGTTCCGAATTGATCCCGTATCAATTTGATATAGTTAAAAGATTAGTTAAAAAACTTTTTTGATAAAAAATTGAAATGTCCAATATTTCGATATTTACATTTCTATGACCTGGGAATATTATACTATATCAACATATTTTGTCTTAGCTGAAACCTCTTCCTAACATTGCTCCCCGGCCGTCAATATCCGTTAAATATCATAATTTAAAAATGTTATTTATCGTATAACTTTATTAATTTAAAAAAATTATCTTGACTAAATACGGAACTATTCTTTATATAAACCAATGCACTTTATATAAAAGAGGCATACTAATGAATCTTTTGTAAATCAGTGATTGTTACAAGAACACTGCATTTGTCTTTCTTTTAATTGAAACTTTTCTTCCTCATCAAATCTATATTTTATTGAATCAACGAGATCTTATCATATAAGGATTTGATAACTATAGCTATCAGAACTGCTTGGTTATTTTGTTATTAAAAAAAGTATAATTACCATCAAATCTCCCTCGAAACAAGATTGTTCAAAATGGTCTTCACACATCAACTTGTGCTTATAATAACTATTTTCTTTTTTTTGTGGGTTTGGGAAAACTATTTAGACTTTTGTCATAACCTTGTCGGACAGAACAACCGTACGCTTGATAAGACATTTTCACAATGGGTGATCATCTACGGTAATCCCCGATTGATGATGGGAGTTTTTAACGGACGGTCGGTAAATCCCTGATTCATTTTGGTCTTTGTGGTTTATAGATATCACGTGACTTTTTAGATCGAACATGCCGACAAGATGGCGATCTGTCGAGAACTGATAGTGAATTTCAAAAATCGATTTTGATCTCTTTTCATAGAGAATAAAAGTTTTTTATTTATAAACATGTGTTTTTTTATGCTTAAAGAACAAAATATCAATTTTTCATTTTTTTGCGGAGTTTCCCTTTAATATCCCAACCCTCCTATTGTGGTATGGAACCTTGTGCTAAAATTTCTTACACATCTATACACTTATACTAAAGTTATTGTCTGTAAACCATTTTATTTTCCATGAACCAATTTATTTTCCATGAACCAGTGATGTAAACCACAAAAATAGTTCTCTAAAATTAGATATGATGTTATATCTATTTTCAACTATGACCCAACTTAAAATTTCTGTTAATTGTCCAATAACATCTCTGAATTTAGATTCTGAGCAAATATGTAATAATAGCATAGTTTCTGACACAGAATGAATGTGGTATAAATTCTTAAATAATTTTAAAATTAGATATTTACCAATTATGGTCCAATATTCAAATTCTAAATACATGGTTGGATTCAGCATATCAAACAACCACATTGTTTCATTTTTTGTTAAAATCAAACTAAGTTTTATTTTGGATACTTTGGACCTTTATGGGGTCCAGTTTGAAAAACGGGCCCAAAATCAAAAATTTAAAACACTGTAAGATTGCACACATTAAAGAACACCAATGATTTAATTTTTGAAGAAATCAAACAAAGTTTAATTTTGGACCCATATTTGGACCAACTTTGAAAACCAATCAAAAAATCTAAAACACTGTTGGATTGACCATATCAAATAACACAAACCATTTAATTTTTGATGAAATCAAACAATGTTCAATTTTGGATCCCAATTTGGACCATCTTGAATACTGTGCCCAAAATCAAATATCTAAATACCACTTAGATTCAGCATATCAAAGAACCCCAACCATTCTTTTTTTTTATAAATCAAACAAAGTTTAATTTTGGACCCTTTGGACCTTAATATGGGCCTACCATGCCCCAAATCAAAAATCTAATCTCATTGTTGAAGGCCGTACGGTTGCCTATAATTGCTTACATCCACTTCATTTGAACTTTGGTGGATAGTTGTCTCATTGACTGACAATCATATCACATCTTATTTTTATATTGACAGAAAGTTGTCTATCGACGATTCGTCCTCTAACACAGGTAACACCCGTGTCATATTAGGTTCAACGATTGGGGTTTCTGTAATGAAAGGTTTCAATAGTTCAAGAAATATTGTCTTGTATCTTTCTCATCTTGACAGAAAATTTGATAATAGTATTTTTCTTACCATGCGTAAGATTTTTTGCAAAGCACTTGTTTGCCGCTGACATTAGAAGTCGCTTGAGTGTTTTATTAAAAAGGATACAATCCCGGACTTTTTCCGGAAAAGAATTAAAAAACATTCATCATTCATTTTGGACGATGTCCGTCGACTCAACGCCTGGGACTATTTAATAGTCAACGCTTAACAAAAACATTAAGTGTGCAGTAGTGGTCCAAAATTGCCACCCGCAGCAATATGTAGTTCTGAATCATTTGATGATAAGATATCAACTTCATTCCATGGAGGGGGCCTCGGTGGCCGAGTGGTCTAAGTAGTTACTACTGTAACCACTAGCCAGTCAATACTGAGGTTGTGAGTTCGAACCCTGCTCGTGCGGGTGCACTCGACTTCAATCTTAATTGACTAGGATTGTCAGTTTTCCTATCGAAGGTCGGTGATTTTCTCCGGGCACTCCGGCTTCCTCCACCAATAAAAACTGGCCGCAACGAAATAGCACAAAAGCGGTGCTTAAAAGTGGCGTTAAAACACAAAAAAAAAAAAATGAAAATCAAATCATTCCATGGATGTATATATACAATATTGGCGAGTGTTTTGAATTAAGGAGATCAGGTCTGAATATTGATACTAGTAAATAATTTCATAACGAATGCATATAATGTAATTTTATTATTTAATCGTGCATTCATAATTTGTATGGTTGATGGCTGCTCTGATTCTGACCATGCTAATACAATGTGTACTAAATATACATGTACCGACTGTGATGTTTATTGTTGTAATTATCAATTATGTTAATCAATTGTAACTGATTTTTATGCCCTTTATGGGCCCTGTAATTTTGGAATAAAAATATTCTATTCTATTCTATACAATAATGAATTGTTGAAAAATCTTTTAAGTTTATTATTCAAACTCTCCGCAGTCTACAACATTTATATAACGGTACTTTCTTACGATTTTCCTATTCTGATTCTGGGAGTGAAACAAATGCAGGTGAAATTGAACCTGTCTCTTTTACCTTTCCATTTTCTATTAATTATAACTATTTCACTACTCATTAAAAGTAAGAGGATCAAGCATGGGTACATAATTATCAGAAAATAGAACCCTTTCAAACAAAGTAGTCCCTTCATATATTTTTTTCCATATTAGTTAGAAACATGTAGTGAATCTAACTGAAGAATGTTTTACACCTGAAACTGAAAAAAAAAATCACCATTTAATAGATGTGAGGAAATGTCTGTTTTCTATCGCGGCAAGTTACACCTTAAACCGAACCTTTAACGTCACATTATTTTTTATAAAAGGAAAACTAAATGACTTCGATCATATCGGGATGATCGTACCAGTTTGTTTATCTGTCTGAAATGGAACTATACAGGCGAGCACATGTCTGATTTCTATGCAAGTTAAATCAGACAGAAACTTTAAAGTCACATGTTATGAAAACGAAAACCAGACGACTTCCATGATATCGGGATGATCGTACCCGCTCGTCTATTTCTGTCGGAAGTGACAAAAGACATGTTATTTCTTATGACAAAAACTATACAACTTCGTCAATCGGGTCGATAACAGAACTAGAGCGGCAAAACAAATATTTAATCTTAGTGTTTCAAGAGTCCGACATCTTCCTGTGTGCTTCCTATGTGCTAACGTGCGATTTCCTGTTAGCATGCACTAGTGTGTGCTTAGAGAGACCGTAATTGTCATCAAAGAAGAAAGACACAACGCAAAAGACGCCAATCAAATTGTACCATCTGTATGAAATCTGTTAGCCAAATCAATTGGATTTCTGCTTTGAAATTTTGAATCGGAATAGGATATTTAACAATAAACACTTCAAAATTGAACGTTTATTCGTTCTTGATTTCGTGAACAAACTTTAGGAAAATATTTGCAATCTATTATACAAAAAGAGCAAACTCGATTTTCATTGTGACGAGCCCAACGTTATTATGAAGAGTGAGATGTATCTGCATGTGGTTTACATCTAATAAATATTTTAAAATTTTAAGCACTGAAAAGAGATAGGGCCAACATTTACCCTGAATTTATTTCCGCCAAGGCCAAATGTCACAGTACCGCAGCTCCATGCGCGAAATTTCAGTTTTAATCAACTATGATTACGGCGTATTTCTGAACATTAAAAACGAATGATATATAAACGTCTAATTAAAAGATCGCTCAATACTGCAATTTTGAAGGATTTTCAAATTTGCGCATTTCAGCTATTTTTCCAAAAAATAAATCACCAAAAATATATTGGATGTAAAGTTATGTACAAGTATTTCAAATAAAATAAAATCATTTTAGTGTTGTTCGAAACATTCGACAAAAACCTGCTAGGTTTGCAATATTGGCTGTGAATAACAAACAGCATGCAGCAATGTTACAACAACTTTCCTATTTTAATTTGATCCTGAGAGTAATACAAATGCAGGGGGACTGACCATACCTCTTTTATCTTTCCATTTCCATAAAATCAAAGTATATAACACTATACTGATTAGGAGATCCAGCATGAGAACCTACCAGAAAATAGTACCCTTTCATTAAAAGTAGTTCCTACTTTTTTATATTACTTCTGAATTGTGATAGCTATTTCGGAATACTTACTAGTATCAACTCGCACTTGAAAACTTTCCGGTTAAAAAAATGAAGTTTTAGCCTCCTCTTTAAATATAAGATAAGATAAGATAAGATAAGAATTTTATTAATCTAATCAAGAACCCATAAAGGGCATCATTTACAACAATATTAAGCACAATATGATTGGAAAAAAGAAAAACTATATCCTAATATAATACTATCATATATTGGACAGGATCAGAGCCTAACACATCATGTGTCTTACATAACATTAACAATAATTGCATAATAATTTTATATATTTTGTATCCACCTGGATCTTATTTCTAAACACTTAATTATATAATTGCCTAGGCACATAAGAGTTGGTAAATGCTCATTTGTGAACAGCCAGAAATATTTTTTATCCTTGGGTAATTCTTTAAAATTATTACAAAAACTGTTTACTTTATCCCATAATAATTTTCTCTGTTCGTTATATAAAGGACAACTTACTGTGAAATGGGTCTCATCTTCAATAGAATTTGATCCATGTGATAGGCAGTGATGACATAGACGCTGACTTCTCTCTATGTATTTTTTACTATACCTATCTTTCTCAATTTTAAGATCATGTGCACTTATTCTCAATTTACATATAGCTCTTCTTATATTAAAATCTTTAATTGATAAATAAGCCTCCTTTACGAAGTCAGTCTTGAGGTTGAAATAATTTTCTAATTTACTATTACCTTGTGATAAGGTATCAGATCTTTTGACCCCCCAAAATGTTTTAAAACTGTTACAAAGTTTACATTTTACAAATTTAATTAATCTATTGAGCTTTGTATTCAAATTTTGTATATCAAGTGATTGAAGGACATATCTCATAGATGAATACCAACAATTAATGTTTCCTGCATCTAAAATTTTATTACAAACATAAGCATCATAAAGTAACCCATCGTCCAATTTGTTAAGCCTGTGTACATATTTTACCATAGATATAATGACAGAAAAATAAAGAGGAAATCTTGCAACCTCTGATAACACTGCCAAATTTGAGGCTTTTTTATTTACACCAAGAATATATTTTAGATACCTGAAATGTGATTTTTCCAAATAATCATTTATGTAAATTAATTCAAATAGATAATCACTTTTTTTCTTGCAAGCAGCAGAGTTAATCTTAAAGGTACCCCAGATTTCACTACAATATAATAAAATTGGTTTTATTGTGTGATCATATAAATGGATTGCAGTATCAATACTTGGATTACAAAGAACGACATTTCTTTTAAAGGACGCATCGTCTTGTGTAATATTGTCCCGATTTTTTGCGCAACTGATTTTTATCATTCTTTGTGCCCATTGGCGAATATTTCATGCGTTTTGAAAGACGATCCCGATTTTGGAAATGAAAATATACGTATCAACATCTTATCGAAATAAATGTATAAATTTTGGATCTTGATTATAAAATATTTGATCCGTGTAAAAATTGCACCTGTTGGACACTGGTTTAATTTATCCCGCCCTTTGAATGATTCTTGTGGGAAATGGACATCGGTATATGTGACACACCGATATCCATTTCTACGAGAATCATTCAAAACTAATAATGAAATCGTAAAAATTTTGGATCTAGTTTACGAAATATATGATCCGTGTGTCAATCTTTCCTAAAAAGAGCACCCATTTGACACGTATTCACTGGTATAATTATTCCCGGCCTTTGAATGATTCTCGTGGAAAATGGACATCGGTATATGTAACACACCGATATCAAAATCGATGAAAATTTGTCGATATAATTGTTACTGTAAAAATTTGTAAAAAAACATGTTAATTACCCCTACGAGAGAAAATATATTTCTGTGTTAAAAATGACATTTGTCCCGTTCCAAAAAGAAATCGCTTATATAGATCAAACAAAAGTGAACACAGAAATCTGACTTATAATAGGAAGAAATTATGTGTATATTGTATATATATATATACGTTGAATAAGTGTGAACACACAGCAATGTCTCGCCTGGTTAGAGATTTGACTATCCGTGATTTTAGAAAAACGCTAAAAAAAATTGTCTTGTCCCCAAGTACCTATGGAATAATTGAATGGCTATGTCCGTCCATCCATCTATCCGAATGTTTGCAATATTAGTGTGTCTTTTTTACCGTATTTACTTTCATAGTTTGTGTAGCGTAGAAATGGTGAGTTGTACCATGTATGCCATTTTCTTGGGTCTTTCAGTAACTTATTTTTATTTTCTAAAACTTTGAGACTTTTTAACATTACAAAACAATGTAAGAATTTTGGTAGCACTTTTGCCAGGATCTTATCAAGGAATTGGTGTGTAGCTTGGTAATGAATTGAACTGTGTAATCCTGAGTTTTTTTCGAAATTGTCGGACAGAATTATCTTCTATGTGACAAATCCTGGAAACTTTTCGATTAATCCAAGCAATGTGAAAAATGTATAGTAAAT